ATTCTATCATTCTTTTTAAGGCCTTTTTAAATGATATGTAATCGAATTTGAGCTATTGAATGCAATTACTTTTATTCTTAAAAAACTTTTCTTTTAAGTTGATCTAAAAGAAAAAAAAAAATGGGAGCCTAGGCTTTATTTTTTCCCTTGTTTTAGCTCCTTTTTTCTGTATTGATTTGATAGTCTTGGATGTCCAAACAATAAAGCCTGCTGAAACATGTATTAGGGATAACTTTGAATAAGACAACATTTTCTGGGAACCATTTTGATCCATTCCTGGTCCAACGGTTGGACCATCTGGTCTGAGTCCGAAAACATTGGTTCATATTGGAGCATTCATTTAAACTACAGACCTATATCAAGCAACTTGGAAATTTCTTACATACATTCTTTCTACTAAACAGTTCATAACTAAATTACTTAGGGAGCTTGTCCACCATAGCGTCTAATTCTTTTGTTGAAATAAAAGAAGAGCAGCTGCTAATTCTGCTTCCCCAAAATCAAGCCGCAGAGATTTCGCAAAGAAGTCGGTGTAGGCCAACTGCCACAAGAAGTTGCTCACCAGTTGCATTGTCATATTGCTCACTGTAGTTAATTGCAACAATCAACAAGGTGGAAATTTCTGGAAAGTGAAACCCAGGGCTGGGGCATCGTACACTTGGAAAAGTTTACTAAGGCTATGTTTGGTTTGAAGAAAAAGGTAGGGAAAGGAAAACCAATACAAGGTTTGTAAAGGTTTTTCTATCTTTTCCTACATTTTCCTTCAAACAAAATATAGCCTAAGGTTATATTTGATTTGAAGGAAAATGTACGAAAATGAAGTAAAATGTAGGAAAACCTTTACAAACCTTATATAGGTTTCCCTGCCTTTCCCTACTATACAAGAGAGTTGTATGGTTAATTGATGATGGCTGGAACATTATTTTATTTTTACTTTTATTTTTTTGAACCATGGAGTACTGATATTAACTCACATTTCTCTGATTTTGAAATCAATACCCATCTCTCTCACGTGTCACGGGTTGCTAACTACATTGATTATAAGTTCAATATACATGGTGTGTTAACACAAAGCTCCGACAGGTGCTATTGCGGGCTTCACAGATTCTCAAGGTACCCTTCCAGAGTTCAAATCAGCCCCCCACAATGTCCCACACCACATCCCGGTTGTGTACTAAAAACATTTTCCGATGATAAAACCAGGAATGATGATGTTATCATCCGCAGATGATTCCAATACATGGTGGGAATGTATAGGACGTTGTGGGGGGCTGATTCGGTCTCACCCCTTCCCATCCCTAATTCCCAGATGGCCGATACTTTAGTTTGGTCTTTGGAGGGAAAATTTTCATGTTCTTCTGCCTTACGCTTAATAGAGTCATCCTCACCCATCTCGTTCTCCTCTCAACTCATCAAAGGAGATATACACGGAACCATGCATCTCTGGATACTCTTTGCTCCTCCAGCTGTGAAATTATTTCATTGGAGATGTGTGTCTCAAAATTTGCTTACATGTAAGCAAATCTGGACACTCTTTGCTCCTTATGTAATGATTCGGAGGAATTATTGGTACACGTTCTGTTTCTTTGAAGCACAAATGAACCAGAATTTACACTTAGGTTATTTATACTCCCATACATTTAAACCAGTGTGAACAAATAAATAGAGCCTTAAGCTTCATTTGAAAGGGAAGAAATTTGTTTGATGTAGGTGGGCATTTACAGTGAAATACAATGCAAATGAATTAATTGAAATATACAAGACCCAATTGGTTGTAAATGGGTACATACAAACTTATGGTATTGACTACTTCAAGACCTTTACTCCATTCGTCAAGATGAATACCATTTGTATTTTGTTGCCTCTTTCTATGAATTTCTTGTTGTCATTGTTCTAGATGGATGTAAATAATACATTCTTTAATGGTGATTTGTAAAAGGAGATATATATGGAGTTGCTCCTAGATTTTATGGTGCAGAAGCAAGAAGGAAGTTTTGTAGGTTGAAAAAAAAAAGCTTTGTATGGCCTAAAATAATCTCCAAGGGCATGGTTTGATAAATTCAAACTTGCCTTAGAAAAATTTGACTATATATAAACACAATCTGATCACACTTTTTTTTATCAAGAAAAATAGGTAGTTGCTTGATTCTCCTGGTTGTATATGTTGATATAGTGGTGATAGGAAATAATATTGATGAAATTGAATCTCTTAAGAGGTTATTAAGCAAAGAGTCTGAGGCTAAATACCTAGGGGACCTAAAATTGAGGTGGCTTGGTTTAAACATGGGATCTTCATCTCCTAGTGGAAAGACCAAGGTTATGGTTAAAAACTCCAAAGCAGTAACACTTTCTTATTTCTAATGAGTATTTTATTTTATCCATGATTAATATGTGAAAATTATTCACAAGATTGTAGCAATTTATTCTAAGACAAAAATATGAAATCAAATTATCTTGTCAATTCAATTTAGGCTATGTTTGGTTTGAAGTAAAGAGTAGGGAAAGGAAGGGAAATACAAGAAACCTATACAAAATTTGTAAAGATTTCCCTTATATATATATCCGGGCTTCCACCATGGCAGTTCCATTCTCTCATGGTAATAGGTAAGGTGTCACCTTTTAATCCTCAATGAATTTCTTGAAACATGAGGATTTTCTCCAACAATCGAATATTCCAATATTGACACGTGCCACCTAGACTAGGGCTACATTTGATAAATCAAAAGTTTAATGTCTAAAATGTTAAAAAGCTATTATTTGGTCTGAAATTTGTAAAGAAGTGAAAATGAATTTCTTCTTTTTAGAGGCTATGGTTTTCGTTGGAGCAATTGTCTTACATCTAAAATTGTGAAGTTTATTACTATTTTAACCTTGGAAGTCGATTGTTTGGTAATATTGTAGAGAATAAAAATAATACTACAAAGAACATTAAATAAAAATATTATGATTTCTCAATAAACAATTATTTATTATTTATTTAAATCATAAATAATAATATTTATTATTACTGCTATTATAAAGCGGAACTTGTCATGTTACTTGTCTTGGTTTTGGTGCATGTCATAAAAGTTAAATTTGATAACATATAAGTAACTTATATTTTTATCTTTAATATATAGCACACAAGTGCATAGCACATACCCTCACACTAATTATTAACTAATTTTAAATAATTTAATTTTAAATCACGAATAATAAATAACTATAGTACGAGTTGTCAACGAATCAGGTCTAGGTAGAACTACTCTTGAACCAATTATTTAATTGGGATAAAATCATAAACTTGATTATATTAAAATAATAACTTAAAATAATACTAAATTACTTTTATAGTAATAAGTTAAACATTTTAACTAATATTGTCGTACTTATTATCTACTAAATCTACTTTTTCAAACATAAAACATGATAAAAATTATAAGAAAGTTAAAAAATTATATATTTCCATAAAATAATTGTTTCCAAATCTGAATTAGTTTTGGATAGGTAAGAACAAAAACTAACCTAATTATTAATCGAGACAAAATCATGGAACCATAACCGTTATAATTATGTTCAATCAATTTAACTCCATTGGGTAGACCCTACCCATTAGTTCAGCCCCAGTTTTTCTTAAAGAAATTAATATTTATATAATAATTTATTAAATAAAATAAATAAAAGTTTATTGAGATGTGACTCGTATAGGCTATCTCAAGCCATGCCTAACTCGTTGACAACCCAAAATATTGGGCTCAAGGGGAGAGACTAATTTGTTAGTAAGTTATTTCTAAATAAATAAATAATTTAGTAAAATAAATAAATAAATAAATAAATGTTTATTAAAATATTTCTTTTAATGTCAAATCTCCTTTATTTTACCGATTTATAAATAATGTTTTTACTTTTATTAAATAAATAAATGCTTAATAATAATAATAATAATAATAACAATAAAAGTTAAGATAAAGAATAGGAGGGGAGAGAGAATTAAGCAAAAGAGAAGAGGGATGACATTTTATTTTATAGGATGGCATAATTATAAATAATTATATGTGACACTCCTGTAATTTTCGAACGCCATAGAGTCAATTACATTTGAAAGTTTGTTTTATATGTGACATTCCTAGAGGAAGTTACATAGTGAGGTAAAGAGAATAAATTTATCTTATATGTGGCACTCCTATAATTTTCCAATGACATAGAGTCAATTACATTATAAAGTTTATCTTATACGCGACAGTCTTATATTTTTCAAATATTATAATGGGTTAAATAAAATAAATCTGCCTTATACGTGACACTTACTTAATTTTTAAATACCTCATTTTTGTACCTTTCATGGTCTTTGTACGTGGGATACCGTTTCTTGAAGGATAACGAATATATATATATATATATATATATATATAGATATATAGATGAATAGGGGAAAAGTCTTCTCCTGGAGGAGAGGAATCTTAGGCCGTGTTTGAAAAAGCTTTTGCTTTCTTCATTCAGTTTCACGGACTTTAGGAACCCAAAGCTCGAAAGCGAAGAGCCTGTTAAGGGCCAAAAGTCTGAAGCCGAAAACAGAGTCTTCAAAAACTTTTGGCTTTGGGCTTCTTCTTCCCGTGTGTAATAAGAAAACTCACTGAGCCCTAATTCTTTTTACAGGTTGGACGCACCAGTAAGTAAATAGAGGTATGCCATATTGAGACCTCCCATTACTCTCTTCAATATTTGCTTTTCGAGAAACCTGTGTGCATTTTTTTTTTGTTTTGTTTTACGTTAATACTTGATGTTTCTCTCTTAACTAGAAGGTATTTTTGTTAATGCTTGATGGTTCTCTGTTAAATAGAAGGCACCCTACTTAATTAGCTGATATTTTGGCAAAATATGGAGTTAATAAACAATCTTTGTATTGGGCTCGATTCATTTTTTCCTTGTTTTTCTGTTCATTCTTCAAGTAAGAAAATCCCATACATGTTCAATTATTCATTGATTAAATTATTTTCATCTCTCTTATGGATTTCAATTCATCAGTTGCAAGTTGCCCCAACACTGCGAAACCCTAACCTTCCTCGAGGCACATCATAAATCACCTCATATGTCTTCTGTTGAATACTGCCGATGATTGTTGTTTCTTCTTCATCATCGTTCGCACTGAAAGCCAAGCAAAACTTGTATGACCCTACATTAGTAATAACTCCTGAATATTGGTCCAACAGGAGGTCAATACCTCCTCCAAAATTCAGCTTTATGGATGGTATTGTCACTGTCCTGTTCCTACTCAAGTCATAGCATGTATCATAAACTCCTCCTCGTGGTGGTGTTGCAGATGGGTAGCCTGACATTGCTGCTCGAAACGCATTCCGAAGGATTATGTAGGCTGAAGGTGGTAGGTAACTGACGATTGTGCCCGAGTCTATAACGGTTCCATGAGCTGAGAATGTTGAAGCTGGAATGGCCAGTCTTCGCCCGTTCAAGCTTATTCCATTTAATGGCACGTAGTACAGGTCTGGATTCTGTGGGTTTAATATCAATCGTATGTACCTCACAGCTGGGGAGGTGGAACCTGTTTGGTTGCCAAATGCTAAGAACCCATTTGAGTTTGTGGAGCTTGGCAGACAGTAGGAGAAAACTTTTCCAAATTTAGTAGCAGTCTGATACACCAGAGATGCAGGGTGAGAGCCTAAACCCAGAATCCCAGATGTGGAATCTCGTAATTTAACATCGTGGCCACACCCTAACTTGAAGCCAGGGAAGACATCTGAGGGCGTTAGTCTGAGTGTTTCCCGTGCGAAGAAGCCGACAGAGTAGTCACTGTCTGCATACTGAGTTTGGTAAATACAAGCGTCTCTGCATGCAGGAGAGTGGTGTGTGGCGCTGTAGGCTTGGGAACAGTCTGCTGACCCACAAGCAATATTGGAATAAGAGGAAGATTGGGAAGGGGAGAAGGGGAGTCCCCTACAGTTAGGACATGTTTTGCAGAGGATCCAACTCAAGCTGCTTCCGGTGTCCATCGTCACCCATAGATTTTGGTTTGGTGTGCCAACTCCAATGTTGACAACGTAGTTTTTGGTTTTGAAAGGGAGACCGAACCTGGTTGGAATTTTAGCCTTGGAATCTCGGACATGTTTGTTGATCATGGAATGAATAGAGCGAACTCGGAGTTGGTCTTGGTGGAGGATTTCCTCCAGGCTGGGAGTTGTCTCTAGTGGTGAACAGGGTCCATTTACGTCTACTAATTGCAACTTTCCGGAAGGATGATTGTCGAAACCTGAAATTGTGGAGATACAAGCATAAAACATCAGATGCTCATTATTTCTCTCTCTCTCTCCCTCTTAATGCATGTCAAGTTTCATATGTTGTATTTAATGATTTTTTAGACGGAAGATTCAATATCTATAAATGTTTCTCATCTCCTTGGTCTTTTCTGCTTCTTCTTTTACCAAATGCTATATGTGTTGGTAGTGAGGCAGGTGGTCGTTAGAAAGAAAGATATAGTATTCCATATTGTTACATACTCTAATTGGGGGATAAGGGGTGGCTGACCTTCTCTAATAAGCCACATTACCTGTACTTGAGAGAACCTTAAAGCATTTCAACTAGGATGATCCTCCACTCCTATGAATGAGAGAATTCAAAGTCAAGGACTACTTGAGAGGGTTGAAGCTTCGATTGAGCTGCTTTCACTGAGTTAGCTCCTTTTGAGAAGCCACTAAATGAGTAGTACTCGATCGTTTGGGAGGGTTGAAGTGTATTGGCTTCTAGCTTTCTGAGGTGGGTTGACATTGACAACCCATAAGCTATATGTGTTTGGTAAAAAATCAAGACAGCCGAATTGGCCGTCATCTAAAAGGCTGGTTGTCTGCTTAAGCCTCTTTTGATTGGCTTCTCTAAAAGGGTTTCAAAGCAGCTGAAGCAACTTAACTGAATCTTCTGCTCAGTCCTCGCAAAAGTGCCAAAAAATTTAAGCCAAAAGCTCTTCTTCTAACTTAATTGAACAACTATTTTGGGCTTTTTACGGTTTTCACCAAACATAATTTATGGGTTCAATTGGGTTGTTTGGGTGAGGCGGCGCACCTCATAATCCAGAAACTTCTACCTGAAAGCCCGCATGAGTGGGCACTCAGTCCAACGGTTCATAATCGGATGAGGATTTGGATTAATTGGCCATGTATCTGCTTCTTCTTCCATCAACTTTCTTGTCTTCCTTTCTTCTATGTATCTTTCAAATTGTATTTTATAGTAAAAATAAAAATTTATTAAAGAAATAAAAAGAAATGAGAAAATACAATGGGCTCAAGCCGAAGAGACTCCAAGTTGAGCCCCAAAGAGAAAGCAACCGGGAAAACCACCTAAGATCAGCCTCCGCTAAGCATGCACGTCAAATTCTAGAAAACCCAAACAGCTATGCGATGTTTATAAAATGAATAAAACTACATGCTTTGACGGTTGGTTATAACTGATCTTCCAACTTATTAAGGCTGCCTTTGAAAAGAATGTAAACATGCAGAGTGTAAAATGGTTCATATAAATTACAAAATTGGGTTAGTTTTGCATTGATAAATTTATCTTCTTACTAAACAAACTTTTTAGTTGTAATGAATATTAACACGAATTTCAATAAAGCATATGCTTTAATATCAAAAGCCCACTTGAATGCAAATTGACTTCTTCTTTATTGATGTACTTTTACATCTTATTATCAATGTAAATATGCATTGATCTGTCATTTGTCAATACAAAAATACAATATTATCAAACAGAAGTAAAAGTGAACCAGAGTGCAAATTTACCCTGAACTGGGATTTACACTCCATTTGCATCGTTTCCAAACACAGCCTAAGCAAACGAAATTAGCAATCCTTTCACAATTAACCAATTTGGTAAGCCCAATGTAATCATGGCAGATTCTACCAGCAGGTATTCTTCCAAAAGGTTCCAGATCAAGCAAAATTCTTTGATTTGGATCCCAAAGTCGTAGAACACTGCTTAGAATTCCTTTTCTACACAATAGCATGTGAAATTTGAAATGTTTAATTAGAAAAAGGAAAATGCACATTGAAGTATAAACTAATGTTGTTTCTAATTAATGATGACAACTGATTCCTTTATAACTAATTGTATGTATATAAAGGCAGTGTTTGGAAGGGGTGCTATTTTTTTTTGCATAGTTATATCATTCTTTTTAGAAAGTGAAATATTTTTCTTTTGATTGGAACCATTGATAAAATAGATTTTAGATGTGGCACTAATGTAATGCCGTTTTTCTTATTAATGGCATGGGTTCCCAACACCCAAACATATTATGTGAACAACTAGACAGGGAAAACTTTTATACCTTTTGAGGATGGAATGCAGTTTGTTTCTGGAAGCAACGAATGAACTGCTATCTCTACCGTCTCCCCATCATGGGCCCAGCTGACCTTATACCAAGAGCAGGAGAGAAGCAAAAGAACAAAAGAGGACAAGCTAAAGTTTAGGAAAGAAGTATGGAGACTGGCCATGAATGGCTATTCTTCTTCTTCTTCTCTTCTGTTGTTGATGTCGTGCTGCTAGTATTTGCTGGATGTTGTACTGCTATTTATAAGGGTAAGGAATGAATAAAGTGTTTTGCCTTTATAAAAAGTCATGTATAGATGTCGAAGGCCTGAATGTTGTTAAATTTGCTTAGTTTTCATATACAAAAATCAATGCACTCAATCTAAGGTTCAAAGAATTAGTATTCCTAAGAATGTTGGAAAGGCAAATCTTAATTTAGGTGAACTCTAAAAAATTCCTAAAACACTTCAATAGTACTTGATTGAAGGCCGAAATTACTTTAAATAAGGAATAAAAACATATTAAATAGTTTATTTAAAGTGTAAGATACCATGATACACTTGGAAACATTAGAAATTATAGAAAAATTAAAATATATAGTATTAGTATACCTTAGGAAAAAATATAATTTTTATTTTATGATATCTGTTAAGATTTGTAATAAACCATGCCTTTCCAGTTTCATAGTTGGACTTGGGTGGCACTATAGCTAAAAGGTATGGTATCTAAACAACTGATAACCCATTAATTGGTATTCATCCAAGTGTAATTTATGGACTACTAGCTGTTCATCCAAATTCATGTGGGTATCTGATTGGTTAAAGTCTTTTTCTTTTGTTTTTCTTTTTTATATATACTAGATATTCTTTCCGCACTACAAATATTGTGAGTCCAGATCATCTATCAACAAAAGAAAATACCCTGTTAACATCATCTCACACCACACATTTCATGTATGATAGGTCCCACTTTTGTGGTGTCAGATCACGTTGGGTAGGGTGTTGGAACTTGTTTTCTTGGCAGTAGATCCCAACTCAAACATTGCATTTATGCATAAAATGTCGTACATAAGTACAAAAGAGATATTGGATTTAATTAAAGGATCTCAAATAAATGGTGTTATGGGCATTAATAAGAGAGAGATAGAGAGGGAGAAGGGGGGGGGGGGGGATTAATGAGGGAGAATGACTGTTCAGTTAATCTCAGAATTCTTAGCCCTATCGTACAGGTGAGATGAATCCTAATCATGGACTGATGCCAAATCCATAGGCAGGGTGCGGTTTATAAAGAGCTACTAATAAATTATGGGGGCTATAATTTCAGAATTCTGCAGTGCGCTAAAATATACTTCTCCCAATTAATAAGGCTTAGATAGTGGAGTTAGATGTACAAATCTGTTAGTAACAAACAATAATGCCATATCCACGTACGCATCATAGGTTTTGTGCAATCTGTCCACGGTTTATGAATAAGATGAATTTTTGTTCATTGCTTTTGAAGAATTTTTAAGTGATGAGGACTGGTGTGGTACAAAACTTTTATGTGTCTATTGGAAAAATTTGGTATTTATCATCCAGCTTTCTTTACGTGGTCATCTGTTCTTCCTTGTATTTCTCGTGTAATCCATTTGGAAGTTGGAACTACGTATTGTTACCTCTATTGAATTAAATTAAGCCGTTTTGGCTTATAAAAAGAAAAATAAAAAAGCTGCCGTTGTTTGTTACTAGCAGATCCAAACCTGTCAGTTAGTATTTTAATAAGGAAGTTACTAAGAGTTTATATGAATTAATTAAGGTATTAATTAATATGGGTAGGCAAAAAATTGATACGTATTGACCAATTTGGACATAGGATAGAAGTGAAAGATGCACTTTGTATCTTCCATATTGTTGCTTTCACAAGCAAAATTAGGCTTCCAAAGTTCTAACTTTTAATATAAATTTTATCCATAATAAAATTCGATCATTTGTACAAGTAGAAAAGTGTTTTAGCCTAAATGTTATTCATAAACGCTTTGATTGTTTAGGAAGCTCACTAATGCTATGTTTGTTTGAAGGAAAAGGTAGATAAACAAAGGAAAAGACAGGCAAACCATACAAGGTTTATAAAGGTTTCTTTATCTTTCCCTTCCTTTCCCTACATTTTCCTTTAAACCAAACATAACCTAAATGCATGACTCGATTAGCAAATTCATTTTATAGAAAGATAAGATCCCTTAATCTCTATTTAGGACCAGGCAAGCTATTTATTAGGAGTTTAAATTGGGCTAGGTTAGACAAAACCCAAGAAAAAAATCAAAATTGGCTGAAGTATAGAACGAAGTTAGGGTTGAAAATTATGAACACAATTTAATTTACAAGTTGAATTAATTCCATGTCCTACATAGTAATAACACTTGACTTGGTGCCTTATCAATTTACCATGAATATTGTTGGATGTAGATGAGTCTTGTATCATGCAAATGTCTCTCTTGATAAATATATGTAAAGCTCATCTTGCTTCAAATTAAGGGTTTTCATCAACAAAAAGGCCTTTATTACAAAGAGAGCTCAGCTTCAACCTTGTGGTTAAAACATGCCACAATTAATTCATCCAATTTTAAGCATGGCTTGCAAAAAAAAAGGGCCGGGGGGTATTCACAATTAATTCATCTAAGTTTGAATTTGTACACATGGTTTATTTAGAAAATCTGGATTCAAAAGATTTGGTATCATTCCACAGTTATTTTGCAGCCTAATTTGTGTGTTTTGCTTGTTACAAAGTTATGTTGGCAATTGAAAAGTTTATTGTCAAAAACAAAATGTCTCCTACTAATCTTGGGAGTTCTCCCGAGAGTATGGTGGTTACAAAATGGAATGTTAGAAAGTGGATTCATATAATTGAAATGTTAAACACCTTAAGAAGGAAGAAAGAAAAATAAAGAGAAGAAGAAAAAAGGGCTACACACAACATAAATCGGGTCAGATGTATTAGGCACGTTAGGTAAGCACAATGAGTGAGCACGTAATAGTTAGCCGTGTGACACATGTCCCAATTAATTCGTCTTTCATCCAA